CCCTCAACTTGATCTTGATTCCACCCAATTAAGCGATAGAGTAGGTCAAGCACTAGCTGAAGCACTGAAAGTAAACAAGACTCTCACTCAACTTGATCTTGGATTCAACCAAATATCCGATAGAGGAGGTGAAGCAGAAGCACTGAAAGTAGACAACACTCTCACTCAACTTGATCTTCCAGGGAACGAAATATCCGCTAGAGGAGGTGAAGTGCTTGGAGAGTAAGTAAGCAGATGGAATAGTCGTTTTCTAGTATGTTTCGGAGGCCGCGTGATTTTGTTTTTTCAAGTTTTGGTTTCTTGTTTTCGGCTTTTTTTACGTGCGATTGTGGTCCATGTTTCTTGAATTGTCCATCATGAGTTGAAGCACTTAATACATACTGCAGTTATAGGAGCTAGATCAGATTCCTTGCATTCACGACGAGACTCCAAGGAGTGTTAGTATATTTATTCAGTTCGTGGAATGGGGCTATGATCTCGAGAGCTAAATCAGAACTGATGAGCTTTGGTTCATGGACAGATGATTGTTCAGTGGCCGTGAGTAATACAGAATATGCAATGTGAAGTCTTAAAAACGACTTCGGCATTTAAAAAAGTAGCCCCAAAACCATGACTAGTTTGTTTGTGTTTTTCAAACTCATCACGGTGCGCATTGCACTTTTCATATGTTTGTACACTGAAGTCATTATCAGCTTCATCCAACAGCAATGATTCTTGGTATTTGTCGTGTATCCCATACAGAAAAAGTCGAAGAAAAAAGCGGTCAAAGCGGCTAAAGGGCTATGTAAAAAACTGCTGTAGTCACCCGAATTTGATTCAAAATATCCGCTTTGCCGCACAAAACCAATTTTAGATTTGTCCTACATATGTTATGCACTTTTATTATTAATTGTATAATAAAATAAATAGCAAAAAACATACAAAGAAATAGAGTGAGAAAGTAAAAATAACTTTAACAACGATCAGAATATCGAAAGCTTACAATTGTTTTAGCATTAGCGATTGTGCTAAACAAAATGGAACAATGCCACATTATACTACATTTAATTATGAAAATATATTAGGAATATTAAATCGTTTAACACATGGTACAAATGGAAATGTACAACAAATAATAACTCATTTAAAATTTCGTTACGTTTAGTTCGTTCAAAATATTATCCTAAACAACTTTATGATTTTATATTAAATTTATTTAAACATCAGCTGGCATTAACGTGAAGCACCACGAACATTTGACAAAGTAACAACAACTCAAGGATGAACATATTTAGTTCCAAAAAAAATCACTGGAGATCAATAATGATAAAATTACAAATATTATTCAAACTTATATTAATTCAACAAGATTTTCAGTTAAACAATGTGCATATTCATCATCCACACAATTTAGATCAAAAGAATATTGTAAAAAATTAAAAACTGATGATTCGAGCATATTATATGAATTAGTTATTGGAGAAACAAATATTGAATTTATTGAAGCTATTTTTGTTATTGACACACAAATATTTTTTTTATTATCAGATGTGAAATAATTGAAAACTTAGTTTATTGAATTGCTAGTACTAAAATATTTGCAATATTTCGACATTCGAATACACAAAAAACTAGAGTAAAAAGGTTTACAAGAAACAAGTTATGAACTTTGACAAAGATTAATTTCTTGTGAAAAAAGAGCGTAGCGAGAAAACTCTTGTTTTGAAAAAAGATTTTTTTAAACCAGTTTTATTCATCTTCAAATGCAGTTTTAAGCATAAATTATGAGCTTTACTTTCTTGTTTATCCAATTTCATTCATTGTGTTCGATTTATAAGTCACCAAAGGGCGTTCGCTTTCGCAGATCCAACTTAATAAAGTCAAGGGACCGAGCGAGCGCAGACGAGCGTTACCTTGTTCCTAAAGTCAAGGGACCGAGCGAGTGCAGACGAGCGTTACCTATGTTTTATATATACTGCTTAAAAGAGTCCATATTTTCACCTTTCCATGTTCTACCGCGTCGTCTAATTCGATTAAAGCATTGATTGTATAAATGTGTTGGAAAAACACATCGCAAGTCGAGAGAAAGAGTCAGCTACTTCGGTAGAGTGAGTTTCTAGGCGTTGAAAGGAAGATGGCTATGAATACTCGATTGTGAATCGTTGGTAAAACGAACAATAGACAAGTAAAAGAAAAGTTTAGTTCACTATATGATACTTTTCTGATTTTGCAATCATGTAATGAAGAGTAAAACAAAGATAGTGTATGAGATCAATAAATTCGAACTATATCAGACATAAGTAAAGATCAGCGATGAATGGACTATTCTTCAGGTTTATATATTAAGCATTCTTTCTTTCTGATTAAAAAATTAAGCGTTTTGGATTATTTTTTGGCCCATACACTTAACTGTTTTTAATGAAAATTTTGAGCAAAGCGGGTTGCCATAGTTTAATACCACATTTTCCTTCTAAAGGCAGAGTGGAAATCAAATTCTGAAACTCATTTTGCTTTCACTTGATCCACCAATTAGTAAAAACACTGGACCCATAGTCTTTGATATTTTCTCCAAGTGACAAAATTGGGCTTGATTTATACTAATATCAACGTTAAGCAGGAAAATAAAGCTCGTGTACACTTTATAATCCAGAACAAATAATTGCCAAAAGTTTGAGAAAAATTTTGAAACTAATATTACTTTCTATTCCGATCGAAATTTGCTTTCGCCATTTTGTTCGGAAAAGTTTCCTAAACTTTTGATAATACGTCTTGCAAAAAATAGAAAATCTTCTGGATTATCGAGTGTGATGAATACGAAAAAGCACTTTTCCGCGACTCTGCGCGAGCTTTATTTTTCTGTCTACGATACGAACTACGATGTTTCCATCCTTTCCAAAGGAACTGAGATGAAAATAAAGTATTCTAGAGAGAGCTAAAAAAAACTCAAGTCGATACTTATGCTTTTCGATAAAACAGCAAGAACTAAACCTACTCTTAGCTGAGATAAAGTCAAGACTTGAGAGCTCACTTAAGATTAAGATTTACTTAAAAATATGACGTGAATTGGATAAATAAGAGATATTGTTTTTAATTTGAATACTGAAGTATAGATAAAAAAATATGAATATGAAACTCGACTTAATACAATTTTAATTTAATTTTACAATCATTTTTTCAGTCTCTAGTAACTGAAAAGCAGTTGTAAAATTAAATTAAGATAAAAAAAATGTTTCTAGTACGATCAAATTTCTTTTTGATGGCAACAGAAAGAAGAAAAAAATTTTCTTACTGACTTTGAATGTTTTCTATGCAATGTCCATGATGCGAAATATTTCTATTTCAGATATAAGATCTTCCTTGTATTATGTCACAACAAGGAGCAGCTCTTCAAAACTATAACAATGAATTGGTGAAATGTATAGAGGATTTATGTACGAAACGTGATGAACTACAACGTCAAATAATGACCGGTAAAGAAGAAAAGTTTTATACACCTTATTTCGTTACTTTGTTGTGGTTATTCTTTCTGCTGTAGAAGAAGAAGAAAAGCATAAGATTGAAAACGAAATTCGGCAAGCAAGTGAAAGATTGTCAAAAATTAATGAAAATCTTGCGAAAAAAATCACAGCTCGAACAGAATTTGATCGTACAATTAGTGAAACAGAAGCAGCATATATGAAAGTAAATAATTGACGAAAAAAAATATACAGTTTTGCAAAAGCCATTTGTCAAGTTTATTTGGTGAAATAGCATTTTCTATTTCACGAATGTTTGTGCTTATTTCGAGAAAACTTCTAAAAACAGTTGACTCAAGGTCAGTCATAACTGAGAGTTCGCGATTAAGAGAAAAATTATTCCAAAAATTCTATTTTATGGTCAAATTAAAGAAAGGAGACTTATTAAAGAATAAATTTCGGATATTTTATGAGCTGTGGCTTTTATGTGCTTTTCAGTAAGACTGAGACGAATTATTCAGCAATGGGGATTCCTTGCGAGGAGACTTTCATGTCTGTACGCGCTATTTGCGTCTCTAATTTAACTTCTATACTCAATACAATATGTGTTTTCTCTTTGATTTTTAGATATTGGAAAGTTCGCAAACTTTGCTTAATGTTCTCAAACGTGAATCGAATTCATTGAGAAATAAAGTTGATAATGATCCGCACGGTTTAAATGCATAATATTTTTTTTTTATAAAAGTGACTATGGAAACATGTAAATTATTAACAAAACTTTTCCAAACATTCTTGTTTTCTCCTTTTCGTTTTGATTTTGATCGATGTCATATTTTGTTGTTAAATACTGATTTGATTTTTGTCTGTTATCGATGCGCTCGAGAGTATGTGTGTATAGGAAAATGTTTGTTCGAGCGCTTAGATCGTAGGAACATGTGTATCAATGTTTCTTCTAATCTTTGCATATCTCTTTGTCTCTCTTTCTCTCGTGTTGTTCTATTTTTTTGACTCTTTTCTCAGATGCTATCATTGCATGCATTGACAACACTTTTTTGTATGTTTCAAAAACAGAAATTAATAACTATTCTCTTTGGAAGTAGAATTTTTTTATTGAAAATATGCATTAAAGTTGACTGAAAAATGTATTTTATTGTATATTTTTATGAATAGTCTCACGTACAGATAATTGCGTGCGATAATGTTATTATTTTTCCGATAGTTAGTTAAAAATAACATGTCTGTTAGTTGCAGTGCTTATCTTGCGTATCTGGTTCGGATTTTGAATCTCGTCAATATTATTGTCTTTTACAATCAGGCAAATTATTTATTCTCTAAAATTAGTTATTTTTGAAGCGAACAATAAATTTGCTAAAAGTGGAATATAAAAGTAATAGTTATTTTTTGTAGCTATTGAACTTTCTTTGTAACAGCCTTTCTCATTTTGTGGGGTGAATTCTAGTTTACTTAAATCAATGCATAAATCATAAACAATTTTTATATCCAAATTATGATGATATTCAGCTTTTAAGTCAATAGTTCGACTGAACATCCATAAAATAGGTTGATTGCATTGTCCACTTAGAGTATAATTATGATTTCCACAGCTATAAACAAGTGCGTAGTTATTGTAATCGGTTGATACAATATAGAAGGGCCAGTTTAAAAGATAGTCTGGTCTATTTTGTTCTAATATCATTTTAGCTGGATTTAATGTATCATTCGCAATCAATATCCATGGTTCAGTATCAAAACAACTTTTGTTAAGTGTACGAGCTTTTCCCTTTACAATTAGTTTTTCATCCGATGTATCAGATGGTTGATAATTCAGGTAATAATCTTGCCAAATATCTTCAAGAGGATGATATTCTCCAGGTAACCATAGGCTATCCATTTACTACAATGTTTTGAATCTTAGTACTGCTGTTGATGACTTTTTGTTTAAATTGTGCAAACTATCGATTCTATTAAGAAGCACAATATCCGAACGGTTCGCACTTAATTTCGTACCATATTCCATAAAATTTTTGAATTTCAAAATTTTGTTGAAGAGTTATATTTGTAAGCACGGGAATATTGCATGGCGAACCAGAATAAATAATTGCTAGAAGAATTAAAATTGTTAAATGAACAGACATGACAATTGGTTAAAAATGGCTGCAAATGTTTCTCCTTTTACGTACGAATCACTAATCTCTTGATAGACTTTTATTTAATCTCGAACGATGGTGGCGGAGGTGTACTATAATTAAGTCTTAATTTTGATTTTGCACGATTAAAATGTTAAAATAGACCGTGTACTGTATTTCATAAATCATTGACCAATATGAGTGGTTTTATTAGATAAAACAAACGACTATATGATATTCATCAAAATATTTTTATATTTACTTAATACAGCTCTACATTAAACATGTAAAAGACAAAGAACAAAAAAAACAGCTTAATATTTGTTTTACTATTTATGGACGATAGAAAAAAGAAGCTAAAGCAAATAAAATTTCTTATCATAACTACAATGTACATTAGAAAAAAAATTGATATTAACACAAAATTATCTGGTTTTTGAATGTGTCGGAGTTCAAAAAAATGATATTTAATTGTTCATTTGTATTATTGAATCTTTCTTAGAAAAAAGTACCCTTAACCTTTCTCGCCCATCAAAATGCGCTGTAGTTTACGTAGAATATCGTCTATTTTTAAGAAATACATATATCTTCAATTTTTATACGAAAACATATGTTTGTTCGCAGGAACGAACTGGGGGACAATGTACGACTGAACTATAATCCATTCAATTCGAATTGATCTCAGTTTTTAAAAACATCAAACTAAATTAATAATATCGGTCCTAAGTATCGGATTTCTTTTATCAAAAATGATCCGAAATGGTCGTGATCCTAAAGCTGGGATCTGACGAGACTATATGAAGTCTTAACTCACAAAATAGTTTCGATGTTTTCACTCAAAATTCTTCAACCCGGAAGATACTGGAGTCTCGTGTTGATTTCAAAATGGAGTCAATACACGTGACTAGAGGCTAACAAAGTCTAATTTTTGAATTTTGCTCTGGTTCAGGAGACAGAAGAATTTTCGAAAACCTTACAGAGATTTTTAAGTTTTTTGACTTCTAATGCCTGTCAAAAATATCCAAAAATTAAGCTTTATCAAACTCTAGCCACATGTATTAGCTCCATTTTAAAGCCAACCTGGGATTCCAGCATCTTTCGGATCGAAGAATTTTGGAAAATACGAAGAGGCTCATTTTAATTACCGCTGTAGTGATATCTCGCGATCGGAGATAGATGGCGTCAAAAAATAAATTTCATCACCATACCGTGAACGTTCACCATTTTTTGAGATTTTAGTCAATATCCGACTTATAGTCTTCGAGATAGATTTTTCCTAGGAGAGAGCAGAGTTTCAAGTAACAACGAATGAGTTCAGTCGTATAATTTTATAAACGTTCGTTTATCAATCTTTTTTGTATAAAACTTTTATCTTTTCTACTCATTTGTTGAATTGATTTTAGAACACATTTTTTTTCTTCTTCAAAAAGATAAAATACAGTTTTAAGATCAGGCAAAATAACAGTAACACTCATCCATAATACACACACACACACTCTCTCTCCCTCTCTCAAAATTTATGACAACAATAAAAAACTATTCATAATTATAAACTGGCAACGTCAATTTTAAACCTTTAAAAATTGGATGGTACGTTTGCATACCAGAAGAAATATGTGTTGAAGTAAAGAAAAGTAAAAAATATTCCAATTTGTAAAGGTTAAACAGATGATAAATAACAATATTGAATAAAAAACAAACAAACAGAATAAAATAGGATAAAATGAACGTGAAGAACAAATGAACATCTGATTAATAATTCAAGAAGTTTTTTGTGAAGAATAAGAATAAAAAGAAAAGTTCAGATACAAACATTATCGCTATTATTTGAGAGACAATTTTTTTTTTATAAATAGAAGAAAGCGCAGATCTAGCTTTGGATCGAAACGAGATTCAATAATAAAAATAAAAATAAAAAATAAGAAAAACTGAACTTGATATTTAGTGTATTTCTTAAATTGTTAAAGTTGCTTGTTCTTGATTAGCTTTCAATTTATCATAGACATGTTGAAATAAATTTCGATAATTTGTTGTTTCATACGTTTTTTTATTTGAATTTTGTTTATTTTCTACTAATGATACTTGTATACCAATATCGTTTCGTTTGTTGGATTTTTCTAGTATTAAATCATCATATTTTCTAATTATTGTATTAAATTGACTAGTAACCTCATCGTATAACGATACATTATTATTATTTTTGATATTTGATGGTGAACATTCATCAATAGATGATTCACCATCATTACTCTCATCTAACGATAGACTATTAATATCATGTTTTGTTCGTAATAATTTTTTACATCTGACTAATTCTTGTTGTAATTGATCATTTTCATCTTTTAATTGTCTTGTAATATCGGTTATTTTTAAACGTTCAAGTAATGTACGATTATCATGTTCATATAAAAATACTTTTTCATTTAATTCATTATTTTCATTAGTTAATAGAGTCAATTTATTTTTAAATTCTGATAGACGATTTTTAATTGTTGAATCTAATGTTAGACACCAACGACAACGAGTAGGTGATGAGTCATTTGAAGAAAATGATAAATCAGATGTTAATGAATCATCATTAATTATTTTTATCGATGAATTATTATTATCAAGAAATGTATCGATACTTGAACAACGTTTTATACCGTTTGATTTTGAACTATTTGGCGATGATGGTGATAGTGATGATTTATATTGTTTATTAAAATTATTTGATAATTGTTGCCGTCGAAAACATTCATAGTCTTGTTCAATATCCATACATTGTTTTCGAGTTTTTTCACATAATTGGGTCAATCTAAAAATATGAAATAAAACTTTTAGAATATAAATTTAAAATGATCATGAATTATGAACATTCTTTTTTCTTTTTTAATCGGATACAAAAATTAATGGTAAACATATTATTTTCAAAAAAAATGGTCAAAATTCTTTTCATCAAAACCTAGTCAAGTTGTTTTTTAAATTCTTCTTTTATTTTTTATAGTTCAAATTGCTGTTCAATTTTCTACTATATGATTTATACTATTTATCGAATGAAAGTACGTGTTAAAAAGCGATTAAATACTGTAGGACAGCTGACACATTTGTGAATAAAAATTTAAGTATTTCAATCGTATAATAATAGGTCTAAGTATATGTATGTTGATTTTTGATTACATACACAAAAAAATACTTCAAACATTTTCGATTGATTAAACACACACATTACATTTCTTATCTTTATAATGTTAATATATATTGTCAGATAAATATAGTTTTAAACATATATTTTATAATACATACTGTTTAATTTTCTGACGATCTTGTTCACTTTCACGTCGTTGAATCATTAATTGTTTTTCAAATTCAAAATTTTGTTGATCCAAATGTTCAGCATATTGACATTTTGTTTGTAACTGTTCACGCGTTGATTCCAGTTGTTTATCAAGTAACTTTAAAAATGAAGAGAAAACATAAGTGTTGTGAGATATCAATGAATAAAGAATCCAAAAAAAAAAAAAAAAAATTCTTATTCTAATATTGAATTGTTTAAGATCTATGTCTCTAATACAAATAAAAATTCATAGTAAAAGAATCTCTATTATTCATCGCTTAACAAGTGTTATAATATTAGGATATGCTTCAATACGTCTATATATCATGTAATTAAATATTAAGTTTCACTTTCATCGTGTCCATCATGTGTGTATAAGTATCCTTTAATACATGAACTTATTCAATATGTATTTGTTGATAACTATAGACTATGTCAGACAAACATCTATTTTTTAATACGTTTAATTTAAAATTTTCATATAGGATGTAATTAGTACATGACAACTTGTTTCGGTTTCGTTCAAATATCATTGATATTCATGTTTAAGAGATTTATTAACTAAATTAATTGATTGCTGAGTACCAAAAAAAAAAAAAGAAGAAAACGAAGACATCACATATCTTAATGTTAACACTCAATTGAAGAAATAATTTTAGATTAATCTTGGAAAAGTTTCTTTTATTTCAAATAACTGACAGAATTTACAAACCTTAATTTCGCAATCTTTGTCTTCTATCTGTTGTTGTAGATTTTTAATACAATTTTGTAATTCTTGATTTCTTTCTAATAAACATCTTCCTAATTCAGCTGCTAATTGTAAATCTAAAATAAAAAAGTAAATTAAAATGAAATTATTTTTTGAATATTTTGAATATAATATACAAACATAAACAATACCTTTTTCATAGTCATCCGTATTATCGTTCATTATTTTTAATTTTAAATCATCTTGTTTAATTTCTGCACCATCCATTAGAGTAAAAAGCATTATTGACGATGGACGACGATGAACATGATGATTAATGACCTGAAATAATGGTGATTCATTTTCATTAATCGAATATGACGATGTTAATGAATTATTATTATTATTATTATTTTGATTAGAATTTAGATGAACAATTTTATTGTTATAACGACGATTGTAAGAATTAACAAGACCTAAACGGTGCATAAGCCAATCAGTATCAAACGTATCACAAATATAAGTATTCATATATTTCCTACTATATCGACCAGTTGAACAAAACAAACTAATCTTCGTTTTCAATGAACGATGTCAAATCTTTTTATTGTATAAAAATTAACTGATAATATTCAAATATAAACTTCTTTATCTTTACTCGAATAAATAGCATTACAATAAATAATACTGTTATATTTCTCTTGTTCAAAAAATAAGAAAATTTTCTCTTAGATTATTTTCTGTTTCATCAGATATAGGTACATTTACCAATTTTTTTTGATCATCAAAACTATTCGAATATATACACGAATAGAAGAAGAAAAAGGAACAAAAAAATAAACTATTGAACACATACAAAGAGAGCTGTATCATCACTTGAAGAGAAAGACTATTGCTTCTATAGTCTATGTATGTCAAAAATAATTGGCTTGTTATCAACAGTAGAAGATTCGATTATAATTACCTAGAAAAATATCGTTGTATGTGCTCACGTATTAGTTAGGTATAGGCGAAGTATTCATCGCTTAACAAGATATGTTAAGATGTTGTTTTAAGAATAAAAAAAAAAAAATAATAATAATAAAACAGAGAAGCAAGTGTAACATTAAACAGATAGATAAAGAGAAACATACAGAATGAGAAAGACCGTGTCATAATAGGACAAAACTATTTCACACTCTTAAATCTGTTCAATTTGAAATGAGTAAGACCTATAGTCTTTGAAAGAGAACTTCTCCTATGGCTCATCTAAAACATTTATTCATTTCTATCTGCGCGTTTGATATGCCAGTGGAAACGTTGTCGCCATCCTCAGGAAAACTGTATCAGCTGTGTTTTACAAATTGACATCAAAATCTAAAATCTCAAATTAATTGAAATAGAAGAGTCAAAACACTACGTGCGATTTTTTTTGCCACACAGCAGTTTTCTTACCCTACTGACGTCTTAATTTTTTTGTTGTTGTTGTTATACAGACGAAAGAAATTTATATGAATGAATGAAAGAAGAAAAAGGCTTGTATAATGTTTTTTCTTCTTCCTTGTACGTAAATCACTGTCACATAAGAAATAAAATTTTTTTTTATTATCAAGGTATTACAGAGTCAAATCTATCTGTTACGGACTATCGGTTTAAATTTCAAAATAGTAGACCTACGATAACCATTTATTTTCCTTCTTTTTTCTCTACCCACGAGTATGACAAAAGACGCCAGTATTAGTATTAGTACACATAATATAATTATATGATATTTGTTTTCTTACATTCTATATGGACTGGAAGAAAAACTTTTTTCTCTCTGTGAGATAAACCTGTTTTTGCCTAAAATAATAGGTCGCTCTTATCACTGACAACAACAGTCATACGTAATATACATAACTATCGTCCTTATGATGTACAATGTACATAAAAGATGCCAGAAAATTTCTGTCTGTGTATATTGTTGATTAATCGAATTTTTCTCTTCTTTCTTCTTTGAGACAACCGCGTGAAACTCGGAAGATTTATTCTTTACCACTATGAAAAATTCTTCTTTCTTTCAGACACTTTTCTCTTGTAAGTCAATCATTCATGCTGACTTGTTCTTTATCGTAGAGATTAGAAAAAAAAAGATGTTTCAAATATCTATTGAACATTCAAAATAATACGTCATTTACAAAATGGTACACATCTGTAGTTATTTCTGTGATATAGACTTTAATTTAATGTATAATGAATCTTAGAAAATGAGAATGTTTTCAAAAACTCTGCCGAAAGTAATCGTCATGCAATATGTCAGTAAAACGATTATAGTATTCAGTATAATGTATATATTATGGATACAGTCTGGTAGACTCGTGCTGCTTTATATTTAACTTTAATCAAATGTTTATTGGCTAGCTGTGCAAATAGTCGTTCTCGAAGAAAGCATCTAGAAATCCTTTCAAAAGTTCTGTATGCTCTTTGTTTATTATTAGAGAACTGCAGTATTATTGATTCTAACATTTTGCAAAGATATTTTTCATTAATTTCTAAACTTCTGACAGTTCAGTACTAATAGTTTATTTATTCATCTTCTAGTGCATTCGAAAACTTCAAGCTCAATATAGAAATTTTTTCAAAAATTAGCGCTAAAAATATCTGATAACGATTTGATGAAAATCTAATTTGGCATTTCTTTTGGGGTTTTTGAAATTTAATCTTCTAGAACCACAGAGGTTTTTGATATTCTTAAATATTAATAGCATTTTACAGCTTTTTAATTTATGTCTTCTTAAAAGTAATAAAATCAAATAAAAATCTTGCTTTTTGTTGATATACGCGTCTCTTGTATGACATTACATGAAAATATCAAGTGCCCCCTCTTGTATTATTGAACATTTGTCCATGAACTATACGCACACAATACGAAATGTCGTACTTTTCCATCATCTGGTATGAGTATTCGTATAAAATAGAAGGAGATAGAGAATGATAGCAGTACTAAAAAATAAGTGTATTTATTTTTTTATTTCTATTTGTACACAATCATCTCAACAGGAAATCTGGACTGTTGAAATTTTATCTTGAAGATTCTATGCGAAGCATAGGTGACAGCATTTTGAAAATAAATGAGGCTCAAAATATTTTGGTCTCCTCTCCTAATGGAGATTTTACATCAGCGTAAAGCAGAATAAAAGTCTATCTTGTTTTGACTACAAATAAAGCAACAGATAAATCAATAAAAAACAGAAATGGCCTAAAAAGCATTGAAAAACTATTTTCTCCGTTCATTCTTCGATAGAAAACTGAAAATACTATCTAGATCAAGAGACTCCAGTCTCTCTTTGTATATATGAGAGAAATCACGTGTTGTAATCAAATGTTAAATTTAAAAAATAAGAAAGGCTGAGCCTCTCTAGTCTGCCGTTAAAAATCCAAAGTCTAAAATCTCACTATTATGCTGTTAAAAATCTAAATTCTTAATGTTATAGCCATTGTATCAATAGGCGTGTTACATGAGAATGCTAACTCAATAACGTAACGGCTGAGTCAATCGACATAAAACTCAGGATATAGTGGTTTTAGACTATGCTCTTTCTTTTGGCTCACTTAGTTTTTTCTAAAAGGCTCCGAAGTAAGNGAACCTTTAAGGTTCGGTCATGTACCATTTTTTTTAGAGAGTGGGCATATCTGATCTCAAAAAATTTGATTTCTAGAACATGTAGCTGAAGATGGAACAATTTTGAGATTATGGTCGTATTCAGAACAGAATAAGCATTGTTTTAAAAAAGATTCGAGTCTTCAGCACAAAGTTGAAATGTTAAATTAAAATTTTAAATTTTAAAAACTTAACTTTTTTTAAATTTGAAATAACTCCACTCAGGTAACTATTGGAATCTTTAAAAATACATCATTCGATAGAGAATCAAAAACTGAACAAGTGTAGGGGTTTGCGAACTTTTTGTGATCGGTTTTTTAGAGATCGGTTTTCTGAAAAACTAACTGGAAAAGTCAAAATAATTTTTTGAATCAACCGTTTTATAGAGCACAAAAAACTGTCTACGATACCTAAATTTTAGCCTGTCAGTATAAACTTTTAAAGAATGACAAAAGTTTCAAAATACAAGTTACGAGCGTTTTTAGACAGAACCATTACCTCTGTGGTAAAACTACACTATTATCT